AGCCCGTTTGGTAACCCTTTTTTCCGGCTTATCAGATTCATCAGTCAGTTTTTTCACCAAACACGTACATTTTGATTTCGCGCGCTGAATTATGTAATAAGCAGAAAAAGTAAGGTTGAAGTTACTTTTCTGGCTGTATTGGCTGAAATTACTGTAGAGGATTATTTTAGCTATTTTTCATATAATTTTTTATTTTATTTATCAATAACAAATATTTTATACTACCTCCGGTTTTTTTTAATCTTCACAGTTTGACTTCACACAAAATAAGGAAAGAAATTTGACTTTACTGTAGAGTACACTGTTGAGGCACTGTTTGGCACTGTTTGACACTGTTTGGCACTGTTGAGACACTGTTTGACACTGTTTGACACTGTTTTGATGTAGATTTCTTTGCCAAAAAAGGAAATAAGGAAGTGTGAAGTTTATTTTAGACCGTCCCAAAAAGGAAAGTGTGAAGTTTATTAAAAACCGGAGGGAGTATATAATTTTTTCATGAATCACCATTCACCAGAATCAGCTAATACAGTCATTTCAACCAGAACTTCATAAATTTCAGCACAATCAGTCAAATTAGCCAATTTTAGTGTTACCAAACGGGCTCATAATTTAAAATACTCTAAGCTTTGTTAGAATGCATTTAACATTCTATAATATCATTTGTGAAATAAATAATATTAAGCTCATAATTTTCTGAATATATCATCAATATTTAATATGTGAAAAATGGATCAGATAGACCATTTTACAATTGCAAATTGTTCACTTAAATTCATGTATTATAAAAAGCATCATATGAATTCATTTACTTTTTAAAACAAAATACATAAAGGTAATCTTTAATAGCTGATCATCCTTCACTTTCTCTCTTTCATATCTTTCTTCTTTTTCTTTTTTATTGCTTCGGGCCACATATTCCATCATTCCCACCGTCGGATGGAATCATTAAAAAAATCAATAGCGAAGGAGAATGTCATGGATGACTGTCGTCAAAGGTTACCGTAAAGTAAATTGGCTTAATTGATTATTTTTTGAGAGTACATGAGTTAACATGATACTCCCTCCGTCCCCCTTTTAAATGTCATGTTTTATCATATTGGGATATCCCTATTTAATTGTCACATACCTTATTTGTTAAAGTTTGTATGACTCAAAATCATTCTTACTTTATTCTTATTTTATCAATTAATATCAATCACACAAACTCACTTTTTCTTAAAACTCGTGTCATCCTTTTCCGTCCCAATATAAAAGGGACGGAGGTAGTACTTTTTATTAATACATGAATTTAAGTGATTGATCTACCATTGTAGAAAAGTTTATTTGATCATTTTCTAATATGTTGATGATCCATGGATCATTGAATACTGACGTTGTGGACCATAACCCATACGTGTTTTGGGGTGATGTTTTGGAAAATTGCATCCCTTCAAAATGGAGGCATAATGCAAATATCAATACGAGATTGTTTGATAATATTACTCGGTAAAATTGATTGAATTTAGTTGAATCGATCTGTTGAATATTAAAAAGATTATATTTAGAATATTTTATTAATAAATTAAAAATATATATGAAAAATAAATTAAATAGTCATCCATCGTAAATTAAGGCAATTCAGTGAGAAAAGTAACTCTAACCTTAATTTTTTATTGTACAACTTATCGCGCGAAAGCCAAAAAAATATGTGTTTGATGAAAAAGTTGACTGGATAAGGTTGATAACTTAAAACAAAGGTAACTAAACGAGGTTTAAATGACGCACTACAAAAGAATGATGGATTTGACATGAATTTTATGTGGATTTACAGATGATTTTGTGCCTAAGAGCATCTTCAATGATACAATATACACGGTGCACACGTGACATGAGAGATGACCACATAAATATTAGTAAATAAATTATTTCTCTCCTTATTTGAATGATTTTATACAGTTATGGTAAGTTTTTCTCCACAATGTCAAGGAGACCGTCTAATTTTGACATTAATGTTGACATTGCAGGGAAAAACTTACCAAAATTATATAAAATCATTCAAATAAGGAGAGAAATAATTTATTTGCTAATAATTATGTGGCTATCACTCATGCCACATGTGCACCGTGGACATTATAGCATTAGAGATGCTCTAAGAGCTCACGCTAAAGTGCTTTTGACACTAATTTTGGCATATCCCTGCAAAACTCTTCATGAATTTTTTTCAAATTCAATCATGTGTTTTTTGTAGTGAGCGTAGAATTCATTTTTGACTTATCAGATTTATGTCAAAATAAGTAAACTGTTCTGAAATTCCAAATTCGTTTAAGATTTAGAGCTCATTTGGTAGTTCAATTTTTTTACTTATGGGATTTGTCTTATGATTTTTTTATTAAATACTTATTGTTATATTTTACGTGCTTAATCGAAAGAATAGATAGTTTAAATGTACTTGATAGAGTATATGTATATGGACCTGGATCCCATGACCCACATACTCAGAAGACCAACACAGAGACTTTGGACACTCAGATGGGCCTCCATCGGCCGAATAATATTGGGTCACGGAATATAGCCCGGGAGCAGAATCTTAGCTTGGACCTCCATCGGTCAGGCCCTCCTTCGGCCAATGAGACTCCAACAGATTAGATTTTATACTGAGCCTTATAAATCATGTACTCAGCCTATTAAAGGTCTTATTTTGTATCGAGCCTCCCAGACCCAAGTCCTAGGAGCCGAAATCTAACATTTTCCTTATAAACAGTGTCGTCATAGGGGACAGTTGCAGGGAGTTGAGAAATATTAATTAAAAGCGTTTTCTCTCTAACTCTGACCTTCACTTCTCTCTAGATTAATACTTTATTAGTACTTTTCATTGTTTCAAGGGAAATTATCATTTACCACCCTTGAGGTTTCACGTATTATCACCTAGACCCATACACTATTAAAAATATACACATACCCCCCTCCCTATCCTTTAATGAACGTTTAATAACTCTTAATTACGTTTAGAAATAGTATAAATTCAGTTTTATAAATTTACTCACTTGCAGATTTAACCTGCTAATTAATAAATTTACTTGTATTCAAAATCTTTCCACCAGAAAGTACTTTTTTGCAAAAACGCGTACTTTCCAATGAAATAGTCCTTATTATTGACAAGGTACATAACTACATCTACATGTGAGTAAAATTATACACTTAGGAGACACAATCGAAAGGTACGAGCTTAAAACCATAAATCTCTGTTACTTTTAAAAGTTCAAAAATATATTTGAGGTTGTAGAAATCTTGGTGAAACTTTTCTGACGAGAGAAAGATGTCTAATACGTATATTTTATACGTAAAACAGATGTTGTTGAAGGACTTTTAGGAGACTATTGTTACCTATTGTAAATTTGTATGAGAAGTACTTACTTTTGTGGTTCATATTAGGAGAGGACAAGGCCTGGTCTCGAGAATGACCAATTTTTTAATTAAGATTTTAGGTTGGGATCGAGACCAGATAAGGTTAAATATTTCGTAGTTAAATATAAGACCATATAGTCCGTTTAAAAATTAAAAAATAGGTAGTTAAATATTTAAATTATCGGGAGCGAACCTAGACAAATTAGGATATTAGAACCAAAGATAAGGTCATGGGCCACACGAATTATTTAGCACTAACCAGTTTGGGTGTGAAACTCATGATAAATTATAATGTCTTTACCAGTATTTTACATGTAAACATGTTCATATTTTGTCAAATGTTAATTTACAAGTTATATTATACCTATAATGATCTCATTTTCAGTGATAAAAAAGTTTCTAGAGTGCAAAATGTGAATTTTCTTGCATTCAATTTTTAATGGTAAAACCGAGTAGTCAACATCACTTTTGAGTCGGTTTGGTTCAATTAAGTTGATTTGTTTCAGTTCTTGACAAATTTAGCTTATTTTGATCATTTCCATGCTAGTTGAGTATATTTAGTCACTTTACAAATTCAAAGGTATAAAACGAACTACCTAGAGTGGGGTCAGTTTTGTTTGACTTCCGATAAAAATGTCATTAATATGGACAAATTTATTAATTACCGGATCAAATTTGTGATTGAATAAAATTACAGTATTAAAAGCGGACCTAACAAAAAACAATGAAATTATATCTATAGTTTTCTCTAAATATAGATTAGAAGTTATTTAATCATCATTAAAGGATAGGGAGGGGGGTAAAAGTATATTTTTGATAGTATAGGGGTGTGATTGATAATGCATCAAACCTCAAGGGAGGTCAATGATAATTTCCCTTGTTTCAATTGATTGAACATGCTGATGAGTACGTTTTTCTCTTAACTTTTTCATTATTTATTAAGTTAATTACCAATATAGGAGTAAAAGTAATAGAAATTGCACATACAGGAGTGCACACGGAAATAAAGTTTAGTAGGAGTAAAATAAATACAGATGGACTAAAATAACCCTAAACTAATTATGGATAGAAACCAATGTTCTAAAAGGCTTGAGGCGGGGGAAGGCGGGAACATCGAGCCTTAAGCCTTTAAAGCCTAGGCGAGTTTAAGCAAAGCCTAGGCGTGAAAAGGCGTTTTAGTTCTACACTTCATTAAATTAATATTTCTAAGGTTAGTAATTAGTATAAAGGTAATATTGTAAATTATTTTGCACAAGTTATCATATGTGTATCAATTCTCCAAGATGAGTGTCATCACTTCAGACTGTTCAGAGTTCTAATGGTAATTTTCTTACTATACAAAACTAGATTATCAGTACACTAATTAGCATGAAAGTTGATAATTCATTAGGAGATAGCTCTTTTTAACCCCCTAATCACCAATGGTTCTTTTGGTTCAGCTTCAACAAGCTAATAACACCATGAATTTCATAACACTACAATGCATTGTTTACATTTTTCAGAGCAAGCATCAGAAATATATTTATTTAACTAACTTGCAAAACCCTCACACTTTCAGTCCAACTCTTCCGCAATGATAAAGTACATGGATCAGGCTGCCAGCTTCTGGCCACTGTCTATTACTCGGTGACGGTTCTGGTTTTCGTGCTCGTTGTTTGCGTTGAGCTCAGTGATACCGCCACACTCGACGACGTCTACCGCCTCGTCGAGTATGATCTGTCTGGCATCCCATATGGATCTCGGCTCGCCTCTCTCAATCATCGTGCCAACTCATCTTTATTATCATCTACCTCCGGGCGCGATTCCATTGCTGATCTCTCGCGGTCTGTTATCATCACTCTCATCAAAGGGTTCACCAAGATTCTGAAGCAAAAAAGCTCTAATATAAGCTGGCCAGGCCAAAACAAGCATGTAGAATTCTTGCTTCGTTAACCTGCTCCATGAAAGGATTATTGCAAATTTATCACAATGAAACACTATTGTATCTTTATTTTTTGAATTTATCTTTTTAGACTTTGCAATCAGCCCAAAAACAAATAAAAAACATGCAGGATTACCTTAGCGGCTTAGCCTAAATGAGAGAGTTCCACATTTGTCCATTCTGATATGAGCAGGCTTGGTGGCTTGAATTACCTTACAAATGTGAAATGGCTAGTAAAAAAAACATTTTTACTCTAACTATATTATTGAACAATGCTAAAAAAAATTATATGGACATGTAAGCTCTTACAGATGGTGCCCCAAATGAACATGAGAGTTGCATAAAAAAGAAGTCAGAAGCAAAAGATCGTGTTACCCCTGGGCGTACTATTTCTCTTTTTGTGAACTTCCTCATCAATGCCAAAGACTTGTGATGTGCATAAATAAACACAGTGAATGACTTTGCTTTCTGAATGACACCCTTAAAATTAGGAAGTTTGGAAATTGCTTCAAGCATGAGGTTGAAGGTGTGAGTGGCACAAGAAGACCAAAAGATCTTGGGCCTTTTTAATGACAGAAAACTTGCAGCAGCCATATTGTTGGAAGCATTATCCGTAACTACTTGAACAACATTTTCTTCTCCGATCTCTTCAATGCACCCATCAACATATTCAAATATATATTGACCTGTGTGAGAATCATCTTTCGTGTCTTTTGAAGAAAGAAATGTAGTTCCTAGTTTACAATTGACACACAAATTCATTATGCTTCTTTTTTTTCCATCACTCCATGCATCTGTCATAACGGAGCATCCATTACTTTTCCACTCTTCTTCTTGCTTTTTGAGAATTTCCTTTTTCCTTTCTACTTCCCCTTTCAAAAGTGTTTCTCGTAATTGATATTGAGAAGGGGGAGTATAACCAGGACCATATCGACCAAGAGCTTCAACAAACATTTTAAAGCTGTCATTGTCAACGGCATTAAAAGGAATTCCAGCTTCATACACCCATCGAGACAGATATTGATGAACTTCTAGTTCCCTTTTTTTGTTTATTGCATCATGCATATTCTGTTGTTTCATTTTCTTACTAGCACTCACTGATTCGTCAGTTACATTGATTGGCCTCAAAAATTCATCCATGGGACCTATAGTCGCAAAAGGCCTTTTCCTACTGTCTTTTTTCCCGAGTCTGTAGTTCAACTTCTTCATTAAGCTGTGAAGACAGAATGACATCCTCCCTCAATCTAGCATGACATAACAGTTTTTCTAATTTCTGGGACTTGTTTTGTTCCAGCGCTTCACGACATTTTCTTTTTTGCTCAACACTGGCATTAGGACATGGTTTGACACCGTGTCCCTTGATCCCTGCTATGTGGAATTTGTGCCTATTTATTCCCGCATTTGTAATCTTTCCACATGGTATGCATCTCACCTCATTGTAATTGTCAGGTTTATTAGGAACAGCAGTTTCCCACCCAACATCCCGAGGATCAGAATCAGAATTTAACTCATTCCCATCAACAGAAGAAGTATTTTGTTCCATTCTTGATTATCAAATCCTACCAGATTCTTAGACTGGAGGGGTTTTAAAAGCACACTATTATACATAAGCAGTTAAGCACAAGCACAAATGCACAATAAGCAGTGAAAAACCATGGTAAAAAAGTGAGTTATTACCTTTGTTGATAAAATCAGGTAGTCCCCAACTTAGGAGGATAAAAACAAATCAGGAAGATGTATTTGATTAAGGAGCAAACTGGAGCAACCTTAAGAAGCATAGAGCTGGGCAGGAACAAGCAGCTGAAGACTCAATCCCATCTCGCTGCGGTTGACTTACACAGGGCGACGAGTGCGGCAGAGATGAGCTTCGATTATTTGGGGGAAAGACTTTTACTTTTCACTTCTTTGGAATGCTTCTTGGACTTCTGGGTTGATGCTTGATTATTAAAATCCTAGGGTTGGGAATTGATAATCCTCCAGTCCGTATGAAGTATTTGAAAGGGTGAGAAAAAATGAAGTGAAACCCTTCTCTGCGCTGCGTTTTGTCAAACAAAAATAGTGAACAGTGAGTTTTATCGCCTTTTACAACGCTTAGTGCCTATGCGAGGCTTTTAGGTGGCGCCTCACGCCTATGCACGCCTAGGCGGGGCCTTATGGAGCCTTTTAGAACACTGATAGAAACTAGTATAGTGGGGCGAATGACGGTTTGCACCAAATCATAAATGGGACGGCAATTTGCAATGAAGAGCTTCTATCTCAGCCATCTCCCGCAGACTGTCGGCACATCCCCTCAAGCCCCGCCCCTCCCCCTCAGGCCGCAGGTGTTATCAACCATCAACCATCACCGCCCACACCGGATTCACCATCGGTCGCTGTCACTCTGGTTATTGAAACCACTTTGTATCGAAACTACTGTCACTGTAAATTCCTAGACCACCACTTCGCCTGTGAGCGCCTCCACCTCCGTCACAATTCTGCCAGATTTAGCCTTGGAAATTAATTTCAAAATATGTCATAAACAAGGATTTCAAATTTGACATAAATTTGGCTGATTTATTTTGGAATATTAACTCAAAACAGCCATAAATTTGGCAAAAACATGAAATCAACCAATTTTTTTTATAGAATAACCACTTCAAACCATCAGAAATGAGAAACACGAATTTATTGACAAAAAATCAGAAGAAAATGCTTACACAAAAAAGTTTTTGTCATATTACTATTATCAATCTACACATTTCTTCAATAAACTTGGCCGAATGAAGTTATTATCCAAAATTTTGGAAAATCGATTTTTTTAAACTAAGAACTCAAAAACCTGAAGTGCTAAATAGAAATACGAAAATTAAAAAATCAATTCAAAATCCGGGAAAACAAAGGAAGAGGAGGATAATGGGGAAAAATTTATGTATATTTCTGCCATAAAATTGGCAAAAATTTATGCCATCATCCAAAAATTGAGAGATTCCGGAAAAATTGAGAAATTAAAAAAGGGAAATACGAAATAAAAGTGTAAAAAACAACAAATCGAATGCCAAAACTCAAAAAACAGAGAAATAGAAGAAATATTTGAAAATAGAATAATAGGAGGAGGAGGAGGAGGAGGGAGGGAGGAAGAAGGAGGAGAAAGAAGATGAGGAAGGAGAAGAAACCCGATTTGTAGGCACGTGCAGTGGAGTTAGCGGCAGTAAATATGGCTAGGTACAAAATCGTTGACATCGTGCTGAGAAGTTGACCGGTCTGATTTGCAAAGAAGAAGAAGGTGACGGATCTTTGCAGGGAAGAAGAAACTAATTAATGGAAGGAGAATGGGAGAGGATGGTGCGTAGGAGTGGATCGACCGTGAATTAAACATAATAGGGGTAAGAATGGAATTGAAAAGTCCGTATGTTTTAAATAGGAGTAATATGGTACTATTTGGGAAGAAAACATACAAACTCCTATTTAAGAATTTATCCTAAGTTTTACTCCTATATGAGACAATTTCTCTCACATACTATTTTTTCCAAAAAAAGTCAATTGAGTCCATATACTATTTTGTCAATCAATTATGTCTACCAAGTGTAAAAAAAATGATCAAATTTGCCTTTTTTCAGGTAATTGATCGGTTCCCGGGTAATCGGCCCACGTGATCATCCATGTGGTTTTTTATTCCTAGTAAGCGCCTATTTGTCTGTGACTTGGCATTAGAGTCTGTTTTTCTTTTTTCTTTTTAAATTATTTTCTTCTTCTTTGTTCTCTCCAACTTCTCTTCTCCCTCTTTTCTTTTTTCCTAATTCTTATTTCTCTTATCTTTTCTTTTTTTATTCTCTTTTTTCTTCCTTCTTCCCCCCTCTGCCTTTCCATCTTTAAAACGCCGGTTACCTCTGACGCCGCCAACTGCGTCCACCTCTTCCGCCGCCGTCTGTTGAAGCATTTGTCCCACACCGGAAAGCTATAAAACAATTAAACATTATATAAGGCTTTGGGCTACTCCTCCTATCAGGTTGACCTTTTAGGATGAAATCCCAGGTCTTAACATGGTATAAGATCCAAATCGATCCATGGTGTGGGACCCCTTATGAAAAAATGACAATTACGGCCGGATGAAAAAAAACGGACCGATGAAAAAAAAACAAATGAATGATGGCACGATCCAGACGAAAGTGTCTGGTCGTGAGGAGGGGTGTTAAATGTCCCACACCGGAAAAGTTTGGATGAACAAAGTGCTATATTAACACATGGGCTACTCCTCCTATCAGGTTGACCTTTTAGGATGAAACCCCGGGTCTTAACATGGTATCAAAGCCAATTCCGGTTGTGGTTTGACGGTTTGTTTAGCAGCCATAATTAAGGCTAGCTTGTTAAGAGTTTGTTTGGTCCGTTTATACACCCCAATATTGTCCAGCCCGGTTCGGACTGAGGGGGCGTGTTGAAGCATTTGTCCCACACCGGAATGCTATAAAAAAAATTAAACATTATATAAGGCTTTGGGCTACTCCTCCTATCAGGTTGACCTTTTAGGGTGGTATCCCAGGTCTTAACACCGTCACCATCGCCGTCGAGCTCTGCCGCCGCCTTCTCCGTCGTCGTCTGGTTGCCATTGAAGAAGACCAAGGGTTTCCGTCGCCTTCTCTGGGCATGAAAGAAGGGGAATAAAATGTAAGAAGGTTAGGTGGAGTGGAGAAGAAGACAAAAAAAGAAGAGGAAAAAGAAAAGGGAAATCGGGAAGGGGTGGGCAAGATTTCAAGAATGAAGGGAGAGGTTGAATATAATGGGGCTGTGGGGAAGAAGAAGAGATCGAAGAAGCCTAGTTAGCTTTTTTCCATTTTAAACGCGTTTTAAACACATACCGTTTTTTTGACCAAAAAAACACGTTTAAAAAGGGGGGAAATGTCGGTCCGTTTAAAAAGGAAAAAAACTCCTAATTCCGGTTGTGGTTTGACGGCTTGTTTAGCAGCCATAATTAAGGCTAGCTTGTTAAGGGTTTGTTTGGCCCGTTTATACACCCCAATATTGTCCAGCCCGGTTCGGACTGAGGGGGCGTGTTGAAGCATTTGTCCCACACCGGAATGCTATAAAAAAAATTAAACATTATATAAGGCTTTGGGCTACTCCTCCTATCAGGTTGACCTTTAGGATGGTATCCCAGGCCTTAACACCGTCACCATCGCCGTCGAGCTCTGCCGCCGCCTTCTCCGTCGTCGTCTGGTTGCCATTGAAGAAGACCAAGGGTTTCCGTCGCCTTCTCTGGGCATGAAAGAAGGGGAATAAAATGCAAGAAGGTTAGGTGGAGTGGAGAAGAAGACAAAAAAAGAAGAGGAAAAAGAAAAGGGAAATCGGGAAGGGGTGGGCAAGATTTCAAGAATGAAGGGAGAGGTTGAATATAATGGGGCCGTGGGGAAGAAGAAGAGATCGAAGAAGCCTAGTTAGCTTTTTTCCATTGTAAACGCGTTTTAAACACGTACCGTTTTTTTGACCAAAAAAACACGTTTAAAAAGGTGGGAAATGTCGGTCCGTTTAAAAAAGAAAAAAACTCCTACTTCCCGTACAAAACGTATTTTTCCCGTATTTTACAAAAAAACATAAACATGAATTGACCGATTGAATGAATGCACTAAATGCATAGAAGATCAACAATAGTGTTTTTCGTCCGAATTTTTGTAGTAGATAACGTATTATACATGTATACGTATTTACATGTTTTTTAAAAGTCAACGTTTTTTTCAACGAATTTTGACCGTCTTTTTCATTCATGTTACCGAATAAAACGCGTACGTATTAAACCTCGTTTAATTCCCGTACCGTATTTAACTAACTAGGGGAAGAAGTGGAAAAGGAAAAATAGGGAATGAAGGGGGCAGTTGGGGGCGGATGAATGCGCAAATTATACGGTACCCGCCCGTTGTACCATCCGCACGGTACAGCCGGCGGTTTTTAATTACTCCGTATTAGTTGTAGTTAGTTTACGTATGCTTTGCTTCAGATATCCGGATAGTTTCCGCCTCCTAATTTGACTTTTTTTTTTTGCCTAATTTGACTTTCTTAGTTTTCTCTTCTTTCTTTTTTTTGTTGTTTTTTGTTTAACCACCTTTTATTTATTTGTTTTATACTACGTCTTAAAATGTTAAGAGAATGTATAACATAAATAAAGTCTCATATTTTTCTTTTTAGTTTGTGCATCATAAAATGTTTTAGGTATTAATGTTTTAGTTTTCCATTTTTAATTTTAAGATTAATGTTTATTAGTTTATTACATGTTGTGTATTAATTACTAACATGAGTTTTACGTTATACTAAAATGAGTATAGTGTAAAATAAATGTGTATGAGTAAACATTATAAGAAGAATACGATTATCGTATTTGTGTCCAGTGTCCAGGTTCGCTACTCTTTTTCAATTCGGAATTTGTGTCCCACACTTTGATTCGATCGTTTCCACTTCTTTGTTTTCGTTTTTTTATTTAATTGTTTGTTCCTCTTTTTTTGATGGTTTGTAATCCTTTCTTTTGTACTTTCAAAAATAAAATAAAAAATCCTTTCTTTTTTTGATTTTTTCTTTAACAACCTTTCATTTTAATTTTTATATTCAATTATGATGAAAATTTATAATATATATCCAATCAAACTTCTAACTTAGTTTTTTATTTTATTTATATACTATAATATATTTTAGGTATTAAGTATTTTTTTTATATTTATAATTTAAGATGACCATTTATTAGTTTATTGAATATTGTGTTTTAATTACTAACATGAGTTTTGTGTTATATGGTATAGTGTAAAATAAATATGCATGAATAAAAAATGTAAAAGAATCTGATTATACTTTTAATACTTATCATTATATGTGTACAAATGAACATTTGAACACATTAGAGAATTCAAATGAGTTTTTGAATTTTTCGATGCTTATTTTGTAATTTGCGTATGTTCATCGAGTAGTGGTTTTATGCTCATTTTAAATGTCATATTAATGCTTATTTTAAAAGTAACACATTAGATTTGTATAAGAGGTAGATTGTAACATGGGAGTAGAGATCATGATATTTAATTAATCGCATTTTGAAAATGTATTGATTCTCAACTCACAGTGTCAGATACTCCATAGAGGAGGTTTGATGGTCAATGAAAATGTCTTGATGCTCAACTAACAAAGTTTATGATTTTCATATCATTGCTTATTTGGTAAGTTATATATGTTCAGATCATTTGGTACTGATGTTATGCTCCGACTAAATTGTTATATCAATGCATATTTCAAAAGTAACATATTACATTAGATTCAAGTAGGAGTTAATTACAGAACGAGACCATGATATTCAATTTCATGTTTTTAATACTCAATAGAGGAGATAAGATGCTCAATGAAAACGTCTTGATGCTCGCTCAACTAAAAAAACTTATGATTGTCATACTAATGCTCATTCTATAATTTACGAATGCTCAATCGGTACTTAATTGCACGCTTCTAATACTCAATAGAGGAGGCTTAATGTTCAATGAAACATGTCTTGATGATCAACTAACAAAGTTTATTATTTTCGTATTAATGCTTATTTTGTAAGCTACATATGCTCAATCGATACTGATGTTATGCTCATTTTTAAAATGTCATATAAATGTATATTTCAAAAGTATCATATTACATTAGATTCACATATTGAACTTCATAGGGATTGATTGTAGATATAATTTAATGAGTTCTATAAAAAAAATATAAAAAGAAACTGAATCAAAAGATATGAAGCAAAGATTATGATGCTCAATATTAGACTCCTAATACTCAATATAATAGGTCTAGTGCTAATTAAAAGTTCGTTAATGCTCATTTAACAGAAAGCGTTAATTTTGTCTCAATATAAGGGAAGTTTGATGATCAATGAAAATGTCGTGACGTCCAACTGACAAACCTTGTGATTCTCATATCAATGTTCATTTTGTAATTCACATATGCTCAGTTGGTACTCATGTTATGCTCATTTTTGAAATGTCATAACAATGCATATTTCAAAAGTACTATATTAGTATATTACATTAGATTCGCATATTGAAATTCATATGAATTGATTGTAAATATAATTTAATGAGCTTTTATAAAAGAAAACATAATAAAAAGAAAGTGAATTGCCTATATGAAGTTGATATCACAATACTCATTTATCGACTCTTAATGTTCAGTAGAATACGTTTGATGCTCATTAAAAGTGGATTAATGCTCATCTAACGAAAACCGCGATTTTCACTAAAATTACGAAAATGCCACCGTTTTTAAGTTTTGATATCGGCTTTCTTGTAATAACACGTTGCACATTATTAGACGATTAATACTCATTAAAATTGGACTATTGCTCATAAACAGTACACTAATGCTCATTTAGCAACAACGCGATTTTTACATTAATTACAAAAACGCCACCGAATTATTTTGCTGTTTTTCTGTTGGGCATGTTTCTGGGCCGGCTGTACGGTGCTCACCGTAGAGCCGGCTGTAGCATATACGTATCCGGATGAATGGGGGTGCGATTGTGCGAATCACAGAAGAAAAGGGAAGGAGAGATAGAAAAATCAAACGAAGGGAAAAGCAAAAAAAAAGGGAAAACAGTATAAAAACGTTAACGTGGCATCCACATAAGCATTACGATGGGCTACCGGTTGTTAACCAGTTAAATGGTAAATTTGATCAGAATTTGAGACTTTATGCACCTAATTGATTGACGAAATAGTATATGGATTCAATTTTTTTTCAATATAGTACATGGACTAATTTGACAATTTTCCCAAAATTTTTAATGTTTTCGACTTCAATATTTTCCAAAAATTATTGAGTAAAAAACCAGTGCATAATAATTGGAAATACTTTTTTTATGAAGAATATGCAATAAGTATAGCGAAAAGGGGAAATTGTTGTATATATAATTAAAAAAATGTGACATTGGATGTAATTAGAAACATTTTCAATACCTTGAAGTTTACTTGATTTTTTCAAGAAGAATTCTCTAAAACACGACTAAATGGATCTTTTATCGCAAATACAGGACTATAACTTTAAAATTTGCTAAATAGGACTAGCATTCTATTAGCATTACCATTCTAATTATACTATTGCTTTGTTTGTTCCAAGAATCGTTCTAGGCGTCCGACTAGTCCCCGCCTAGGCGCTAGGCGGTGGTCGGGCGCCCCGATTTTCGTCTAGGCGCTCCGACTAATTGGTTTGCCGTCTAGGTGAATTAGTCGGCCGCCTATGGCGCCTTGTTGCCCGTTCAGAGCGCCTAATCGGACGCCTAGGACGTCTAGATTCGCCGAACATTACTTCAGTTTTCAATTTTAATTTTCTAACCGATATAAATACTTTAACTTTAGCTACGGGTATAAAGAAATGAAGTCTTAAATTAAGATAAAGACTATATATGTTTGTATATATACCTAAATTTATTATTATTTATATTTATAACATAATGAAGTTAAGTGTTTAGTTATCATATACTACGTATGATTAAATGTGATAATTCTGTCATTCTTGTTTGTTAATGTATGTGTACATATGTATTTTATTTACACAAAAATACAATATTACTTATCATATTTATGCAAAAATATAGATAAAAATGCAATTTCTATGTTCCGACTAGTCTCCGATTAGGCGCCTGCCTAGCCGCGTAGGCGCTGGACTGGCGCCCAACTAGCGCCTAGCGCATTTTAGAACATTGGTTTTAATCCAATTCATGTTTCATTAATAATTAAAACATAAAAGTAATAATATAACTTTATTTATAATAAAAATGTAAAAGAATATAAAACACGAAAATAAATATTACGGAGTAAATAAAATTAATAAAAATAAAAAAACTAGAAAACAAAAAAAAACCAAAAAGTTAAAAACTTAAAAAATTAAAACAAAAATATATAAAAATATGCAGACCTTTGCTGCCCCTCACCAACCTCTCAACACCACGAGCTTCAATCACTGGGAAAAATGCCAACATGTATAAAAAATTCTATTTTAATTTTGTTATTTTTAATACATTTTTATGTTTTTTTTGAATTCTTTACGATTTTTTATACGGAGTATAAAATTAAAATATTTGTGTTAATTTTTTTCATTACAAATTAAAAGTTGATAATCCTATTAAGTTATTCTAAGGATAGAATAAAAAATAGAATATATATACTTCAGTTCCTATTGTTAGAAGATAAATAACATAGATTATTTGTACATTTTTTTGGATGAAATAGACTTTAATTAATAACACATCATTGAGATAGTATATAATTCGACAAAAGAATCGTGAGACATCATTCGGATATTTATTTTTAGATTTAGGAACTAGTTTAATTTTATTTAGGATTATTTAACCCTTTTGTCAATTAGTAATCATTTGCGGAGTACCATTGACGAATCACGACTGTCACGAGTGAGGGAGAAAGAGAAAATATCAGTGGTAGGGGAGGAAGTAAATTTGATGGGTAAATAGTTAAAATTAGTGTCCTAATATATAAAGTGAAAAGAACAAGAGAAGCACAATTAAAAGCAAGAAATTGACAAGTCATCAACCACGGCAGGAACAGTGTCGGGTTGAGTCCGTACCCGGTCCCCACTTCCGTGCCCACCCGCTTCAGGATACTCTCTTCTTCCCCTTTCTTCCATCGCTTCATCTCCTCTATCTCTGCCCAGATTACACCCCACACAGCAAAGCTTGCTTTAAGCCCACACATATAAATAGACCTACGCATTCAAGTAAAAAATAACAGAGCTTTTCCTGCGCTTCCTCTGAAGCTCCTTATTACAAATCATCTTCGATAAGAACAATTGTATTTAGAATCTGTACTCTGTTTTCGGGTTTCAATTACTTTACCTAGTTGTTCATTTACGCCTTCTGAAATTGCGAAGCTTTGGAGTAGTTTTTAATTTAAGCTGAATTCTGGAGGGTGGTTTCTGTTCTGGATTGAGCTGCTTGGGTACAGAAATGGAGTCATTGGAGTCGGGTCAAGCTAGATCCGTGGCTTATGCAGCGCCAGCCGGAGATATCCGAGGCGAGTTTGAACAATTTGGCAACGAGGGAATCCACGCCGGTTTAATGCCTGTAGTAGCGGAGGAAGCTGGAAGTTCGTTCACTGCACTGCTCGAGCTCCCGGCGGAGCAGGCGGTTGAGCTCCTGGTTCATTCGTCGGAAATAGTAGTGTCTCCGGCGACGAACGTTCCTGAAATTGAACATCAGAGAGAATATCGAAACGGCTTTCTTTCGCAGCCAATTTTCCCCTCAGATACAGCTCTAATCGACCGAGGCTCCAAATTATCTGTGTTCGCGGGGAAATCTCCCTCGAATTCGCTGTCCAAGTCGCAGTGCATGAAGCAAGAGCCGTCGGATTCAACCCCGATTTTATCGTCCCCCGCTGTTTCCAATCCAGCCGTCGACCAGAAGTGCACCAAACGGAATGAGAGGGAGACAAAGGTAATTCCGAAAACCGAAATTCCACTTCCTTGGGTTCCAACTTTTGCAGAAAATGCAAGTATTGAATCGGGTGTTTTGAAAACTAGATTAAAGAGCCCTGCAAGAAGAAGAGCAAGAAAGCAGCAATGAATGCAATGGCAGTAGACGGTGGCGAGAAGCTTCCCTATGTTCATGTTCGAGCTCGCCGCGGCCAAGCCACTGATAGCCATAGCTTAGCGGAGAGAGTAATACTTCTACTAATCATCTCCTAATTAAGCTCTAACAGCGGTGTAACGCTGTAATAGAGGTTAATGAATTCTATTTTACCATGCAGGCAAGAAGAGAGAAGATTAATGCTAGAATGAAGCTTTTACAGGAGCTGGTCCCAGGATGTAACAAGGTTAGCTGTCATTAAATCGTTCTGCACGGCTAATTTTTCAGTAAATCGTAGATTATTTTCTTGATTTGAGATAAAAATCTTCTCTAATTATGCATTAATATAAATTTAAGTGCCGCCAGTTGGGTCATTGTCTCCCACTGTAACGGCTAAAGTAAGAAAATTTAATGGCATTTGCACCAATGAAAGTGGGGGAGGGGTGAGCTAAGGAGGATGACAAGTCTTTTTCAAAGTTCTAACTGTTGTTTCAACTTTTTGCTTCACATTGTCTCCAGTTCGTGAGATGTCTATTCAATGGTCACCATTGTCTATTACTGAGCATTACAACTATCTTTCTGTTCATCTGTGCTTGATACAATGATATTGAGTCAATTAGGATACCGATAGTTTGGCATATGTGAAACTAATCTTTTAAAACAAGTTTTTTTATAACAAATATAGTTAGATGTCATTTTAAAAGCTCGTCACTATATCCATGACCTTAGAAGGGCGTGAGCCGTGAGGTGCTACACAGGTATATCATGATACCGCATCAATGATATTAATTATATCATTGCTAAGTAAGCAACTACAATGAACATATGGTTTTGATGATCTGATATTTAGAGTTAGTTTGTTGTAAATATTTAGAGTTAGAAAAAAAATACAAGAAACAAACTAACTTTAAAACTGATCACAGATTACTTGACCTTATATTGAAAACTAATCAAGTGCAGCTAATACTACTTTTCGAAAAAGTAGTAATGTAATAATACAAGGTGACCAAAATTGTTAACTATTCCGCTAAGATTCCACAAACAAAGTAGCTGTAAAGTAGCTGTTGCTCTTGAAATTAATAAGTCATACTGTAGCTGAAATTGCCCCGAATTGCTTTCAGATTACAGGGAGGATAATGAATACGAAGTATGCTGGATAGAAAGTTTGAATCTTTTTTACTAGCCATAGCTTGGGTTTTATGCTTGATATCTCTGAGACCTATTGTGATTCTCTCTTAACTTCTTTATCTTTAAGGACTGTTTTTATGTATCCAGGACCCCATAATTTTCACATTTGGTTTTCCTAAAAGATACGGAGTAATTCATTAAATTGTTTTTTTCCTGAACTCGGGATGGGCCCAGACCCGGATTGCCCTCTATCTATGCCCATGATATTTGTGTATGCTGTACCTCTATTCTAACCATTCCGGATGGTGCAACTAAAAAGCCATCCTATTACTCCGTATTATTATTCTATATGAGTTATGATTCTTATGAAATGCGGCTGGCTCATTAAACCACACCTAGAAATGCCATCATCATTTATTTCCTGTCTTAACTCTTCTGGTGTAAATAAGCTTTTATCCTTTGGATTTCTGGTACATATTTATTATGCAAGAATAGCAAAAGTTACACTGTTAACATTACACTCTTTAATAGTTTAATCATTGTGAGCTGCTAATTTATTCTTCCAAGTCTGTTGGAATTAATGCCGAGATAGAATTGTTTGCAAGTCCATTGCTATTTAATCGACATTGCTGCACTACTACCTTTTTCATGGCCACTTTTAACTAAATTATTATGCTCCAATCATTACCAAATCTCTTCTTTTTCCCTTGATGGATTTTAGTTTCATTATATCATTTGTAAATTATTTTTGCAGATTTCGGGTACTGCATTAGTGTTGGATGAGATCATTAACCATGTTCAGTTCCTACAACGCCAAGTTGAGGTTAGGAAGGAGAATCTTACTTCTTATTTATCATGTCTGAAATACATACGTAGTACTACATATGTGTTAAATAACATATTCAGCTCCTACAACACCAAGTTCAGGACTTCAGGTTAGGAAGGAGAATGTCACTTCCTATTTATCATGGCTCAAATACCTGTGTGTTTTAAAAGCAATCATTATTTATATACAGATTAAATAAAAAGCAAAGTTGATTTAAATAAACTTGTTTGAGAGACGAGAAGGCTGGTAAAACATGTTCAAGCTAAAGAGTAAAGACCCAGGAAGACAGAGAGAGCTGGTGTGCATGTGAGAAAGAGAAAGATGTTTGTTGTCTTAAAAATAAAATTACACTATTTTCGTTCTTGTACTGTTCTGAGCTTCAAGTTCCAATGGGTCAGAGGCTACTGTGTAAATAGTATAATAGGGTCAATAGACAGACCACCTACAGAAAGTTTTAATATTTCCACAATTTAGCCTGAAAATCTATAACTCTTGCTGACAAGTGTTTCTGTGGTTGCAGTTCTTATCAATGAGACTTGCTGCTGTCAACCCAAGAATCGATTTTAATCTTGATGCTCTCTTCAGTGTTCAAGTATGACTAATCCCCTTATTCATGCATACATAGTACTTCGTATTTTTCATCTCTGAATTTTGATTGGTGATATTCTGTTTCTTGACCACCATGGGCTCGTTCAGTATAGTTTTCTGCATTAAGTTTTCCTAATTTTTGAAAATTGAAGACAAAGTTAAAAAAAAATGACCTTTTTTCTCTGTTTCTAAAATTAACCTAACTAGTACTCAGTATATACATATGATTACATTTTACTCCTTAGTTTATTACACAACTATGCCATGTGTACCTATTAACTTGTAAAATTGTATAGCTATCACTTATGAAAGGCCATCTTCATGGACATTTTCACATGAATTTATAGTGTTAACTAATTGTCTAATTTTATAAATTAATTCACACATTCAATTTGATTCAATTGACCCACCACAGTGACTCTGTTTGGATCTGTAATTGCCTTTGCCTAAGAGTTGAAAATGACATTTTGAACCAATCAAGGTGATCAGAATGGTGGGCCTATTAGGTCTGGCTGTGAGCATTTACACCATTAACCAATGAGCATGAGCTATTACAATGACATCTCATAATCTTGTTCCCCTTGGGGGTTGCATCTGTCAGGCTCTCTGAATCTATAGTTAATAATTTCTGTCCTTTCTGTTTTTTGTTTGTTTGTTTGGGAAATTAGCAGAGTGAGGCCCCCTCTATGGAAAATAACTGCACTGGCATGATAATGCCCTCAATGTGGGTAGGAGAAGAAGGGCAAGCTAATGAGAACAGTCACCAACAGCAACTATGGCAACAGCATTCTGATGGATTCCATCAACCTTTGTGGACTAGGGAAGAGCAGTCTAGCTTCATTGCACATGAAAACTCACTATTAACCTATGATCAACCAGCAAATTCAGGCGATTTTCCTATGCATGAATGTCAGCTAAAAATGGAGATATGATAGCAAAAACGGAAGCGTTTTGGAGTAGCTAGGCAGACATGTATATATCTCAATTATAGCGATAGATAGCGTCCTGGTTGAAAACCGAGATCTGAAAATAACAAGTAATATCAATGGCAGAGAGGTGGTGCATAAGTTTATGAGGTCTGTTGTAGTATGAATGGAATGAAGAACACTAACGTAGAGGAGGGTGGAAGAGCCATTGTATGTCTGTTATATTTTTCCATGTTTTGTATGATGGGATATGGTTCACTTATAAACAAGAGTAAGAAAATAATCATTATTCTTATTTGAAAAAAAGTTACTTCGTACAAGATGGGTGATTGAACTATTCTATATTTTCAATTTAAATGCTTTTTATATTTCAGTGTGAATATTCGGGCGTACAGAAGTACAGAACCAATTACAAGCTTGAAATGTGAAATGAAAGAGAGGGTAAAATTACAAAACAAAAAACACGGAGACACGTAGTGGCATTCATCCTCAAACGGTAAAAGTCCAACTTATGCTCCCAAATTCCATTGTCTCCTCAAATCAAATAATTAAACCAAGCCATTCAACTATTCAAGGAGACAGCCAGTGGCCAGTGGTGGTGGATGGAGGTAGTTGGGCGTCGGATGGTGGCTGTGGGTGACCAGTCACCGGGAGGTCTATGCTTATTAACGAGTAGTCAAGTACAGAGTCATTCACAAGCAAAACTATGAAAAGTTAGGACAACAATTATATTTACTATCCATTCATATATTGTAGCAAAAGTGAGATCAAATTCAAGAATTGTGGACTCTTCCCTCAGAACTTTTCACGTAGGGGTTTCTTCTGCCGCTTCAAGTGTGCGGCTCTTGGGATTTCTCCGGCTGATAGTGTCGCTCGTTGCTTAGTGATTGTTTTGTATCATTCAGAGTTGATAAGGGTGAACCACGTCTCTCGCACGTACTGAAACTTGGCTGGTTTTGTGGGATTGACAATTAGTTTTATTACTCGATGTTTGGTTGGTTGGAATGTTTCTTGTTTGAGGGTAACCGCATTGGGCGGGGCAGTGGATGGGGTGGTCCAACAAGGGATAGGGGTGGGCACAAAATAACATAACCGCTTAACCAAATAAAAAAATCGAAAAACCGGTGCATTTTTCGGTTAACCGTACCGATTTTGTAAAAAGTCGCGGTACGGTTAACCAACCGTTAAGAACAAACGGTTCACGGTACGGTTAAAATTTTAAAACTATGTTTGACCGGTTAACCAATAACCGAAATTTCAAATAATTTCCTCTACTGCTATGCTCTTGCCTCCTACGGTAGTCACTTCCTTGAAGAGAACCACACTGTTGCCAAGAGGATATGCTGGCATCCTATACGTGGAGCAATATTATGATACTAGTGTATTTCTAGATTTTTCCTTTTTTTACTCCGGGGGGTCAAGGGGAGGGGGAGGGGGGAGCCTGGAGTAATCAAGACTGAAACTCACTCAATTGAGTTTCAAAACCTTATGTGCCTAGCGGGTTTCGAACTCGAGACCTCCCACTAGGACGGTAACCTCACAACCAGCTGAGCTGGAAAGCTTGGTTATATTTCTAAATTTTTCCATATGTGTTATTAATCATTTCCTTATTTATTTTGTAATTATTCTTTTCTTTTACTTTCCTTAGCACCGTACGTATGTATGTATATGATTAAGGAAGTGTTTGCAACAGCTTCTGCTTAAAAAAAGCACTTTTGGGGTGATTTGGAAAAAGTGATTAGTTGTAAGAGTTGATAGTGTTTGAGAAAAAAGTGATTTTGAAAAGTAAAAGTTGGTAGTGTTTGGTAAAATAAATGCTTTTGGTGTATAAAAGGGGGAAAAGCACTTTTGACACGAAAGCCGAGAAAAGTAAAAAATTGGTAGTGTTTGGTAAATAAGTGTTTTTTAAAGCCAAAAGTTGAGAAATGCTTTTTTTAAAGCGGTTGCAAACCAGCCCTAGATGAATCCTACGAGATGTACAAAACTATACACAAAATAATACTCATCATTTTACTCCTCAATTTATTTATTTATCACTGGAAGTACGTGTTATCAAGCCCAATAAAAAAATATAGGTTCAACATTTAAAATCAATTGGAATATTGAAAACTTTATCTTTTGCTTTCATGGTTTATTCGTTAACCGATTAATGGTTAACCGAAAATTCAGTTAACCAATGTTACGATACAGGTACGATATTGAAAATTTAATAACCGCTATCTCAATTAACTGGATATTTGGTTAACCGAAATCCGGTTAACCTGCCGTGCCCACCACTAGCAAGGGATTGGTGTTCGAGTTTAGGGAGGAGTGACAGCTCAAAATCTGGTCTCTTTTTGCATGCATTAGTCGGAAGGTGGCATAAGGGATTGTTGCAGAGGTTTGGAGAAGGGCAATAAGTGTTGGGAAATGCTTATTAAGAAGAACTCAAGCATCTCGATCGCGTTCAATGACAAAAAGAGAAAACGTATTTCGGCTGAAGAGGAAAGGGCAAACTATCTGGCTATGGAGCTTGAGCATTTGTGTTCGAAAATGGATGCAGGGCAAGTTAGTCAGATCAAGCCTGCTTGAACTATAAGTAAGTATGGGATGAGATCGAATGTCACGCCGGAGGGGAGACACCTGTAACCAACTAGAAGGGGGAGTTCTTCAAGATGAAGATGGAAGGGTGCATAAAATTGGGAATTGAGGATGTATTGAAATACCTACTTCGAGTCTAGTCCAACTTTTAGTTTAGTTTCGAATTGCATAAGTGAGGAAACATGTTTTAAGCCATGTGGTATTTTATTACTATCTGGTCCTTTTGCTAAGTGAGGAAACATGTTTTAAGCCATCTAGCACGGAAACTCTCGAGAAAGAGTACGTTTCCCGTTTCGATAACTCTCGGAAACTCTTTGAAAACTCTCCAAACAAGCCTTTTTTGAGCAAAAGTTGACGTTTCTCATTTCCAATTTCCTTATGATTTTTGTGTTTCCGTGCAACATAGGTTTTAAGTGTTAAATCTATTTATATATAAGAAAAAAATAGGCCGTGCAAATTACATTTTTGACCTCCATTCCAACGTGTCCTGTTCTGCTGAATTCACGCTCCTAATATGGATCCACGTGTCTTCTTCAATTTCTTTATTATTATCGAGAACAACAAAAATTTCTCCGATTATTATTATTATTATTACCCATTCTTCCTCATCGTCGTCATCATCGTTCCTATATCTAATTTCATTAACATTGAAATCGCCAGTTTCACACCCCTGAATCTCTCTGGTGCACATGAAGTCGCAGGTTCGATCCACACTTCACAGGCATGTTTCTGGTAATAAATTTCAAACAATCTCCATATTTTCCATACAATTTACTACTCCCTCCGTCCCGAAAACAACTTCCCACTTTCCTTAAATGGATGTCCCCCAAAATTAACTTCACACTTCAATACTTTCCTTATTTGGCAAATTATCTACATCAAAAAGTGATAAACATGTGCAAAACAGTGTTTAAACAGTGACAAACAGTGTTTAAACAGTGCCAAACAGTGTTTAAACAGTGCAAAACAGTGCATACAACCGGGAAGTTGTTTTCGGGACGAAGGGAGTAATATTTTTGGATTTCTTATTGGAATTAGGGGTGAGCATTCGGTCGGTCGGTCAAATAACCGACCGATAACCGAATAACCGATTATAAAATTTTAAGCAAATAACCGACCGAAAACCGACCGATATATTAAAATAACCGACCGAGAAAAGATTGTTCGGTTTCGGTCAATAACCGATAACCGAACAATAACCGAAAATAATTAAACCATAGAGTAAATTCAGATTTCCTCCTTTTTTCCTCACAGGAGGGCAGGGTACTCTTTCTTCATATGAAAGAGGATATCTTTGTGCTGTAATTCTACTGAATAAAATCACCATATCCAACAATCCAACATCAACTTAAAAAATGCATACATGCATAAAAAAATCAACGAAACTGTTAACTGGGTTTCAAACATTAATACAACATTATTACCACCAAAGAGGCAAAGAGTACAGCCAAAAACACAACAAAAAATCCAAAATTCAAATGGTTAAGTTGTCAAAAATTCTTTGTCCACTACAAGAGTCTATGCTTTGTCCACTAGCTTGCATCAAATGTATTTATCTTCCTTCTTAACCTGCAAAAAAGATCAAAATCAACACGTCTAAATAAATAAATGAATCTAATACACTGCCAATTCAAAAAAAAAACCAGAACAACATGAGGCCACACTTATAATATATACTACGTATTACTTTTAATTAGAATTATTATAACAAGTAATATCAGTACCTCAGTATACATTCAATTTTATGTGGAGTATAAAATGTTGAATATAAAGTTTTAGGTTTCTGTAAATCTGTAATGGCTAAACTAATAAAGCTACTTTGTGCATAGCAAAATAAGCAGCAGTTGCTTTCAGCAAACATTTCACAGGGAAGAACGATAAAGACGTCTTTATAGACTTCATTCGAGTATTTAACATTTTTAGACCTTCTAATTATAACCACTAATTAATGCATTTCAGAGAGATCACTAAACTGAAGAAAAAAGAGAATAAGTGTTTGTTCAAGAAAGAGGGGTTTAACTAAGATAAATTAGAGATTTACGGCCGTTAGATAATTATATTGGGTAGTTGTAATATATGACCGGTGCTCTGCTACTTCACTTTGCTGGAGAGGTCTGCCATGGGAGCAATCGATGAAATCAGTTCGGATTAGGAATTGAAGAAGAGAAATTACCTTTGGGTCTTCGTATAAGGCAAAGATTACTTTGGGTTCTTCGCTTAGCTGCTTCACCTTCTTCGCTGAAGTTTACTCAAAGGAGATAGAGAACGGAGGTCCAGGGAATAGCGATTTAGGGTGTTAGGCACTTAGGCCGTTTCAGAGCTTTGGGCCAGGGTTATAAACTTATAATTGGTCTGGGCCTATTTTAATATACCGGGACTATTTTGTTATATTGAAGCATTATAGCCTTGTAATATCGGTTATCGGTCACCGACCGAACCGAACATTCAAAACCGCTAAATAACCGAATAACCGAATAACCGATAACTTTTTACAAATAATAACCGATAACCGATCGATAACCGAATTTTCGGTTCGGTTCGGTCATCGGTTACCGGTTACGTCGGTCTTTTCGGTTATTTGCTCACCCCTAATTGGAATTGGCCTGATTTCAGAAACTTAATTTTAGATACTCTCTGAATTCTGAATTCTGTGGGTTGAACAAAAATTTTAAATTAATGGTTAGGCACCTC